TAAATAAAAACAAAGATAAGAACTTGGAGTTTGAATCATACATATATATATATATATGAGTTTATAACATATTAATTTTGACTTTTAAAAAAATTAAAATTTTAATTTATATTTAAAAATTGAAATTGAAATTCAAAATTCAAAAATTTATTTAGTTTTCAAATATAAATATCAATATTTAATAAAATAAACTTTTTTAATTTTAATTAAATAAAATGATATAATTTAATATTAAAAACTTTAATTTTTTTAAAAATCAAAACTGATATATATTTTTTCATATATATGTTGAATAGAATTTGAATGAATTTTGCTCAAACAAAAACAAGACAAAGCATCTAGAGTTTGAAAAAAAATAAAAACAGAACTAAAATTTAGCCTTTTTTATCCTCATCAACTTATATGTGTAGATAAAATAAAACAGTGCCATGTCAACATATATATCTATGTGAATTAGTGAAAGCCCAAAAAAGAAAAAGAGTTAGTCCATCGTGAGATATACATTTGGTTTATTTGTGAGAAGAGTTTATTTGTACTATTAATAGAATTGGAGGACTTATCTACTTCATCTTTAGTTTAAGAATTTATATGCTATTTTGAGATAAATTCGAAGGGTGAAAAAAAAGATTTTTGCTTTTAGTGCTTGAATTTACCATCGAAATGACTTTTTATTTTTATTTTTAATTTAGAGGAAAACATTTAATCCTAACTAGAATTATGATCTCAACATATAGAAGGCATAATTGGTTTTGGGTCCCTTCATCGTTAAGACAAGTAGGAGAGAACAAAATGAACTTAAAAGGAAGAAGAGATGAAATTCAAGTGGGTTTTAGGGGCACTCCTTGTCCCCCTACTTCGAAGCTTGATTTGCGCAGTTCCCGCATTTTTAATTTTCATGCCATGCCCAATTCTTTGACATTAGCAGACAATAAAGGCCCACGCTTTATTCTTGTTGTTTGTCGTTTTGGAGAGTTATATCTTGGGCAAAACCTCAAGTTAAGCACCTAACCTCATATTCTTAATTGAATTTTTAGATTTTTTTTAAAGCAGATAAATTATTAAACTTTATAATTTGTGTAACTTTTCCTTCTTCTATATCTTTTTTTGTCTGCATCTTTGCAATCAGCTGTTAAAAAGAAGGTAAGAAGGTCAAATTATATAAATCGTGGAGTTCATGGATTTATCTGTTTAAAAAATGTCTAAAAACTTAATTGAGAATGTGTGGTGAATTTAAGGGCTTAATGTGGGTTTTTACTTGTGTCTTGAGCTGCCGTTTTCTAGGGCTCCACCTCAAAGGGGATTGAAGCCATGGCTTTTGCAAAGGGACAACGACCTTTTCCAAGTTGGAGGATCTGATTCTCCTCCAAGCCTTAGCTCTTGTTTATCTGCATTCAAGATGAGTGCCCCCACATAGCTTCAATATCGACAAACAAAAGGAAATCATGAATACATTGAAGATTGAAGAATTGAATCATTTGTTTTTTATGTTGTTATTTTTCCAGGACTTATTCAAGCTGGGTTTTTGGCACAGACCCATTTATTACCATTAGTAGCTTTCTGACGCACGGTAAGTTCTACAAAAATTATACAAGTTCAGTTTCATAAATGTACTCCTGCTACCATGTGTCATGTCAGAGATTTTTAGTGCTCCCTACCTTACGTTGGTAAGATAATTCTGTTTAATGTGGAACACAAGACAGAACATTTAAACTCAAATTTTGTTAGAAACAACAAGCTATACTTCTTATGCACAAACTAGTTTTTGGCTCTGTTTGCACCCAGGCATTATTGTAGGTTGAAATCCCACTTCAGCAATTACCAAAAGTTAATAATGTGTGATGAGTGCATATTGATTTATGCTCTCTTGTTGAGTGAACAGACTCAATAAAAATTATTATCATGTTATGTTGTGGAAAATTTTGTAATCATATCTTTTTTATTTTTGCTTGAATTACAGTTTACAACGTCACGTTGTGAGAAACTTTGTTGTCGTATTTTTTTTGTTTGAATTACAGTTTATGAAGGATCAGATATAGATTAATGCTAGGCAAAACTTGTATTTTTTGGTGGCATACCATCACCCACATGGTGGGGAGGGGGCAGTTTCTGTATTATAGCTGACGGAATGGGAGATATCATAGTCGACAATGTCGCCGGTTCCCTGCTGTACTCATTGCTCAGGTTGGTGGGCATAATTGGTGGTGGGGTTGAATCAATGTGATCTATCCACTGTGCACCCTCTGTATATATATTCGTCAGGACATTGTTGTCCCCGGTGTATCTAACGCCGGCTACGTCAACGTTGGAAATAACAGAACCAGTTTCACCAGTGTCACTGAGGCTTAATTAAGAGTTTTAAACCGAAAGCCAAAAGATGGGAAGGGGCAAAATAATCAAATTTAGCTAAAATTACAAATGTTTTGTGTGTACTTAAACCTTTTTATAAGTAGAAATAATTCGTTACTTTTATTGATAATATAACGTGATACTCTTTATTAAGTGTGAATTACTAGAATAAGATCTTGTTAAGTAAAATATTATAAACAATCATGTTAAGTAAAAATCTAAAAGTCTCTGACTATACTCTCTTGAACAATTTAGTGTTCAATTTGGAGCAGAGGGCTTGGCTACATATGTAGGATGGCCATCCCCGGCCATGACAACCACTATATCTGGCTCCGAAGCAACATCTGCTCCAGTGGTTTCTCTGAACTTCTCTTCTTTGCCACTTGACGATTCTTCAGGAGAGGAATTTCGGTGGTAGCATGCAAGGAAGAGCAAGGCAACGGCAATGATCCCGAAAACGATTCCTAAGCCACTAAAGATGTATGGAAGAGGAGAATGAGAGTCCCATTGCCCTATGCCTGCAGTGTCAACCATGGAAGTACTCTCAGGCTTCATTGTTCTTGATGTGCAATGAATTGGGTTTTTGAACTTTTGATCCCTCAATTTATGCATAGGGCTGGAGATTGGATACATACCGGCCTTTTTCTTTTTATTCACATTGCCCCCAATGGCCTTGGTTTGATGAAAAGTTAGATGCTTTCTTTCTGAATTTTAAGTCCATTAGTAATTCCTTTCTCTAGTTGAGGAAGAAGCACATTTCAGAACTCCTTTCTCCAATTCAACTTTAGGGAATGAGATAGGCACTAGGAAGGAAAATGGAAAAATGATGTGGGACATTTCTTAATGGACCATTGCCAAACAAACCCTTTTGGCCTACCAAAAGAAGTGGCACTCCTCCTATTGGCTTTTTTTTTTCAATTGCACTCAAGCCAAACAGTGTTCTAGTGCAAGCTAGCATTCTCTTAAATTTAGCTTTTCTACTCTCAATGAAAAACTGTGTGTCATATTTTGGTTCATATAACCCAAAAATAATGAAGGTATCATATATTTAATACAGTTGTTATTATATTTATTTTTAGTTTAAACTTGTATTTTTAGTTTAAACTTGTATTTTTTTATGAGACATTTAATTTATAATTTGAATTATATTAAATTATTATATATAAATTATTAAATGAGAAAAAAGCCCTCATATATATTAAGGTGTTCATTCCCTTCAATTTAAAGTAATATATAATTTGATATAATTCAAACAATAAATATCTTTTTATTTTATTTTATAATGGAACTAACTTTCTCTCTGTTGGTCAAAGTGGGAAAACAGTTTTCTCTTCTACAACGTTGCACCCTCCTTTTTCCTTTCCAAAAATCTATCTTCTATTGAGAACAATTGCATCTTCCGACTTGCATATGCAATATGCTTTCTTATTATGAAATAGTTTGGGCGGTGAATATTGATGCCAAACTGTAGAATTATTCCATGAAATCGAGGAATCCATAACGAAAATAAATTCATATCACACTAAAGATGCATTCAACATTTCGGTTCGAAATGCAGCTTTCTTAGGTATTTTGTGGGTCTTACATATGGCCAGGTCAGGTTAGAGACTAAAACTAGAGAAAGTCTACAATACAACTGTGTTGGATATCCAATGTGATCTAATGAGTTAATTAAATTTTAACATGTAGGTAAAATAACTAAAAATTAAACTCCATTATCATTCATTTTGATCTATATAAATTGATATATAACCTACTTTTAATAGTAAAAGTTGTTATCCAATTATATAGTCATAATACAACTAAAGGTTGCATAGAAAATTTCATAAAACTGAGGCTTTTTTTATACAAAAATAATATAGTTATGATACTATATAAAATTATAAATTTATAATCATAATGTATATTTATATAATTTATTCAATAATACTTTAAGGTAGTGTTTGGTTGCCATCATTAATATATCCACTATCAAGTAAGGTTTAGGTGAGGCTAATTTTTTTTTTTTTTTTAAAAAGAATAATTCATGGGGTAAATAATGTGTATTAGCCGTTGAAGGTTTTTGAAACCCACCGACTAGAAGTTAGTACATGTATTTCCCTCTCTCCTCTCCTTCCTTTCTCCTGAAACCCTAAACAAGGAAATTCGAATCGATGGTGATTTAGCCGTTGAAGCCCTAAATCAGAGAGAAGAATGGATTGAGCCCCAGACAAAAGGAACAAGAACTCCCTCTCTCCTCCTTTTAGCCAAAATCAACGGTTATGCATGTTTGTTGACGAATGTTATGTCCTTTCTAAATTTAGTTACTACCAACACAAATTCTGGTGATTTTAGTGTAGCACTGAATCTGATGAGGGTTATCTCAACTTCTTTAAATTACATTTCACAAAGTTAAATAGTTATGTGACAGAAACAAATCAATGCACGAACAGTAAACTACTTCAAAAAGTGCAACCTGCGTAACATGATGAAGATGTATATCTACTATAGCTTTTCCAGCGACGTTCACTGCTCAAGTATGAAAAAGCATGCCAAGTGATTGGCACGTATATAATTTAATGTTGCTGAAATTCAAACATGTATGGTGAATATGTGAGTACCATTTATCATCTCATTGTGAGAACTTCGCTGTCAACTTGTCAACATGAATTAGGATATCATCTATGCAAGGACGAATGGCAGCTTGTGGCTGCAGCATCCAGGTCACAAACTGGTGAAGAGGTTCTGGATATAGAGGTTTAGGTCCAGCTGGCCACTTAATCTGTGCATTTACAATGGCCAATTGTAGGCTTCCTCCCGATTCTCCAAGTGCATACTCAAATGGTGATGTTCCATACCTGCATAAAAATGAACAGTAAATTAATGGAGATATGAAATACACCTAGTGGCTAAATGCATATAAGAAGGCAGCTTTTTTCTTGTAGGATGAGTGCAGTTTCATGAAACTGGAACTATGTCATTGTATTGCCAACTATTAACATGTCAGAGACAATTAAAATTTTTGCAAAATATGAAGAATAAAGGGTTTATGAAATAAAAGCTATCCTTGAAAAAAGGGGAATTAGTTCTTACATAATTGCATATAAAGTGCATCCAAGTGACCAAATGTCAGTTCTCTCATCAATATCTGCATGGCTTGGGCAATCCCAGAACTCTGGAGCTCGGAAAGGTGCTGAACAATGCTCTGATGACCATTCCTACAGAACCAGAAGCCAAAATCAACCAAGAGCTTGTGACAAAGGATGAAATGAACTAATAGAGATGGCGAAATCTGGTTGTTCTGTGTTTTTCCACACTTAAGTGAAGCATCAAAGGCAATAACTTTGCTAGCAGTCCAATGAAAATGCAACCATACAATCAATTTATGCCCAATTTAAGATCAAGAAAAACT